GTAACCCAGAGAGCAGCCCCACCTGATTTGTTGGCATAAAAATTATAAAAATAATAAAAAATAATACATACACACCGCATTTATATCTATATATATAGATATAGATATAAATAACTTTCAGATCTATGTGATAAATCAGAGTAGAGGAGAAAAATTTAAAAGACTCTAATAGGTACTAACTACAAAAATAAACCCAATCTACAATGCCTATTCCCTGATGATAGGAGTAATATCTGAATCCCAAGAGAAAAGGATCCCTGGATCAACAGTCTAGCCTTCAATTCCTATCTGCTATGAGCAGGGGGATGTTAGATAGCTCTAACAGCCTCTGACCTGAAGAAAGTGCTGCTCTTTACTAATTCCTAGGGAAGCAGAGAAGTTGTGGTTTTCATTGAACATGCACAGAAAAAGAAAATTAAATTAAACAATGATGTCTGATAGCTTGAGCTGCACGTATTTTTTTCTTACCAGTTAAGAAAAAGGACAATTTTATCCCAGGGATGTAAAACATTCTGGTAGATTCTGGAACAATAATTAAACACTAGATTTGCAAAAACAGAGAGGCAACATATGGTATGGTTACTGCCATGCTACCCATATTCCCAAGCCCTGGTTATAAAAGCTTTTGCTTTCCTGGCAAAAGGGTTCAAATCCCCCCATATAAGTGATATATGGCTTGGGCAAGGGGTCACAGTTTCCACACTACTCAGTGTCACTCCCCTCTGACCCTCTGACAGAGTGCTTTACAAGAGCTAGTCCAATGTACTACATGCAAAATCAGCTGGATTAAATCAAAACACTAATTTAAAAGGTTTCTGCTAACCAGCTAGCTGTGAATTGAGAGTGATCATATGAACTTGTCTGCCAGGAGATCCAGAAGGAGCAGCAACTGCTGGAAAAAGAGGGGCACGTGTCTTTGGCTTTTGTGCCCTATCCTGTCCCTGCTAGCCTTAAGATTCTGAGAAAGTATGATCAGTATAGGAACCCAGTCTAAGAGAATTCCAATTCAGAAAAAGTTAAACTATGCCTGCATCTGCAGCTCTTCTGGGCAATCCTAGTCAAGAGATGTCAGGAAGAACTCTGAGAGTGAGGAAGAAAGAGTTCATACATAGGAAAGAGAGAGAGAAATAGTTCCAGCTGCAACAAATCGGAGTTGTCCTCCTAGAGATAATAGAAGAAGAACTTTTGAGTGCTGCAAAGTTATTTAAAAGACCTGGAGCTCCAGAAATGGAGAAAGAGACTGCTTCTCCTCCTGAACTGATACAAAGGGGGTAGGGGTATTTCTGTCAATACACAGCACTTTTGCCTGATTAGAATTGTAATATACATAGTTCTTTAGATTTTATCTTGCTAGTAATAAATCCTAATATTATTTTCCCCGATCAGGTCTCTTTTGTCTGCATAAACCTTCTCTCAACTTAATGCAATTGTGTGGGGGCTGTGAGAGCAAACTGGCCCAGAGCAAACCCATGACACATGGGTAATTACTGCACCCAAGGAAACCATAACCTCACCGTTCAACCTGCCCTGACCCAGCCCTGCTAACTTCACTCAGCTGTTGCTTGCAAAAGCTGCTAGGAGAATCAGCAGGAATGTTAAACACAGCTGGCTTTGGATACCAGGAGGCTGTCTGAAACCCACAGCTAGAAATGATGGTCAGCAGTGGGATCTCCTGACTTATTCTCTCTGTAACAAGTGCTGAAATAGGGTTAGCTGATAGATTCCTGGCAGCCCTTGCTGAAAGAGGGAAAGATTATTGCTCTTGGTTTTAATATCATTATGGCATATATGCTGCTTTTATACTATTGCTAGAAAATCTCTGATGTAAAACAGATACGAGTCTGTCCTACACCACATCTACTGCCACTGCCAGTGAGTTTACAGTGCTGTTTCTGCAACTACTGAAAATAACCCTCTGCGCTGAGCAGCGGCTAACAATGATTAGCAAAGCACCTATTGCTGACAAGCATCTTCAGCAAAACAACACAAGCCAGGACGCAATTCCTATAGATGTAAAATGGAGTAGAAATTAGTAGCAATAACTTTTTTTCTTTTTCCAGATGCAGTACACTGCAACACTCTGCATTCTTTGAAAGGAAAGTGGTATCAGTGCTGTTAGGTGGATTTTTCAGACTCTGAAATAGACTGATTTCCTGAAGCTGAATTAAGATTATGGAACAATAAACTTTCATATTGAAAAAAAAAATTTAAAATCTACTCTACAGAAGAGGGGACGAAGATTTCTTTGCCAACGTATTAGAAACCAAAAAAAAAAATCAAAGCACACAGGTGAAGTGTCCTTCTCGCTCTCTTTTATTTTTTTTAGAAGAACATGTATTTCACAAGTAATATTTTTCTCAATGGACACATTTTGAAATTCACTGCAGTGCAGTACTTCCATGCACTTGTAAAGCAAACCTGGATAATAGAGTGAGATCTTACAACTTTGCACAGGAGTTGTATCCATGGGAACATAGGCGGGAATGAGAAGTTGGCCCATACCATATACTGTAGCTCTTCAAGAAGAAGTCTCTGCCAGAAGCTATGAAAAGAAATGGTTGGGCTTTGCCCATAGAAACAGAGAGGACTGGCTGCAGCACATTAAGAAAATCAGACACTGGAATAGGTGGAGTCTCCTCAGTATCAGTTTTTTCACCTTGCAGAGATGCAGAAAAGCCTTGGCAGGTATCATAAAATCACAGAATACCAGGTTGGAAATTACCTCAAGGCTCATTTGGTCCAACCTTTCTTGTTAAAAGCACAGTTTAGACAGGACAGCCCAAAACCCTCTCCAGCTGAATCTTAAACATGTCCAACATTGGGGATTCCATCACTTCCCTGGGAAAATGATTCCAATGGCTGCTTGATCTCTAGGAGTGGTCTATCTAACATGTCTCATGAAATCTCAGTCTTCAGAAAGGAAAGAGCACCTAGCTTCACTCAGACCCTTCATGGAACACTACTGTCATCATCCCTGGAATAGACCACGCCATTTGCTTTCAAACACATGTTTTGTCTCGTTCTGTCTCAGTAACTCTGTTGAGCAAAATCAGCATTAAACTTTTGCACTCTTGGGTTTCATTGTAACCAATCCATAGAAAGAAACGAAACTGCCTGTATTCAGTAGCAATGTCCCCAAAGGGGTCATAGGCAAAACAAGGGAATCCCAGCATCTTGAAAGGACTCCAAAGACAGGTTACAAAAGCCTACTATGTGATCATCATTATCAGAGTCACCTTGCAGAGAAACAAAGCATGGAAGATAATCCTCTTTTCACTTAGCTCTATTCATTAAAAGGACAAACCCTATGAAATTAATCGTAAGAACATCTGAACAGCAGGAATAATAACAGACTGTACTCCAATGATGTTTGCAAGACCTGATGAAGGAGAAAGCCTACATCTTTCCTTGATGTGTGCTGTATTTTTTTAAAGAAATACTAGCTTCTATTAACAGAAGATATACTGAGTAGTGCAGTAATTCTACTATGTCAGCTGCTTCCAGAAACTGCTCCTTCCATACAACACTCAGCACAGATGTTTCAAGTCTGTTAGAGATCCAAGCTCAAAGTAAAATAGCAAGCGAAATGGCACATTAGCTTCTTCCCTCACGGTATTGGTCAAGGAAAACTATGAAAGCAATTGGTGTTCCAGTTAATCAGTTTGTATAAAATATTTTAAATGTAAGCACAAAAGAAAAAGGAAAAAAAAAACCACCAAAAAAAGTGACTACAGCAATCTTTTAAATGAGCATGTGCCAAGCTTTGGTTTTTTTCCAATGCAAAGGAATGGAAACTCTCCCACTGACTTCAGCAGCAGCTGGGCTAGACCCTGAAAATCTTCATATAGAACTTCCATCAAGGAAAAGTTTTATACTGGTATAAGGCATTTCTGTTTTATCCTCTGCCTTTTTCCTCCTGATAAATTGCACACTTACAGCACATAATGTCTGAAAATGAAGATCACAATAAAAACATAATTCTCTGAGGCTTGCAACTGTGTAATCAAAATGAACACTAAAAGAATTAACATGTATAAGAAATTATGGCTTTTTGTTATACAAGAAGTTAATTTAAGAGGTTTATAATAATTTACACCTACAATAAAACAGGACAAATAATGGCAAAATTTCATTGGTTCAATGGACCAAATAAATCCTATAGTTCGCAATAGTTGTATTACTGTTTCAAATATTGCTCTTATTGTGTCTTGCACAGCTAAGCAAAGCTCCAGCAAAGAGATAAATGACTATGAAAAGCAACAACAAACAAACAGAATGTTGTCACAGTTGTACAGCTCCCATTTTGCGCAATTATTTTGACGTTATTCCTACTCAGACAGCTTTCACAGCCAGCAATTTGCAAAAAGTTTGATTCAGTGCTTGTATTACAACATATTTATCTTAAAATGAACTCCTGCTAATGAAAACATCCAAGTATTTCAATCTAAATGAAAACAGACTAAAACTCAAATCACTTCACTTCCTGTGGGTGAAATTAAAAGCACTCTTGACCTCCCGATCCAGTAGTGTGACCTGGCCACAACCCAAACTTGCACCAGGACATGAGCAAAGAACAGCCTTGTGTCTTGGTTACAACAAGGAGTAAGTCTAGGAGCCCGGTTTAGGAGATGACCAAGACTGTTCAGTGCAGTGTGGTATCACTCAAACTAGAGGTACCCTTTGTATTTCAGTGTCATTTGGTACCTTAGCAGTTTCCAAACCAGTCTCCCTCTACCTCTTAATAACTCAAATTGTCTTTCATTAGTGCACCACAAATAACAGGAATGTGTCTTCTACAGACAGGTGTAATCTACACACATCAAAGCCATACAAGAAAAAATCTCATTAAATAGCCTGAAAGAAATTCAAGTCCAACATAACCAAAATCAACCTCCAAATGACTCAGCAGTGTGCATCAGGTCATCCCCTGTACGTACATCTTGTAATTAAACTGGCTTAAAGTTAAAAGAATTGTTCACAGTGAGACTGGCCTTTCTTACCTTTTGCCACATTTTGATGAAGAAGAGCTCCCCAGAAAAATTGAAGAAAACATTGGTGTCATAGGCATCATCCCCGACGTTAGAGATGAAAATGTTAAGCGAGATGTTCCTCACCGCTCCCAGGGCCAGGTAGGCAGTTCTGTCATCAACACTGTAGGCAGAAATAGTTACACTGATTTAACTCTGGTCAACTTTCACGTACACCATACTGGGAATGAACAGCTCCTGACGCCTGGTTCTGACACTGTCTTTTGGAACTGTAAGAAAACCCTGTGATCTTCATGTGGAACTACTTCACATGATCTGTTTTTAGTGATAATAAATTAGTTGAAAACTGTAAAGTAATTGGACAGAGAAAATGTAATGAACAAGATATTATGCCTGCATTCAAATACACCAGCTATTTCAGTTTGTCTCTTAAAAGTTCATAATTATTGTAACATTCTAGCAACCCCTGTGAAAAATCTTCCTTGAGTTATGCTATGGATAGAAAAAATGGAAAAGAGGATCAAATAAAATCCAGAAACTGGTGTAAATGAAAAACATGTATAGAAATTGCAACAAATGTTCACTGAATGTGACTAATCTTTCTTCAGATGTTTATGCTGGACCTAACATTGTGAAGTCACCTTCCACAAGGGGAATACCAAGGGGATGGTTCAATTAAAGTAATAGCTATACATCATGAATCAATACACGATTGCAATATGGCATCACAGATTACGAACAAACACAGACATGCATGGAGAGGCAAATATAAATATACATCACACATTTATTATTTGATATTTAATCCTTCTAGGCTGTCCAGAAGATGAGCTAATAAGTAGGAATAAAGGCTAAATCACCACTACTGCTCAGTGGACAGTGGAAGATACAACTGTGGTCAGTTAAAATGGGTAATGTTTAAAACAACTAAAGTTCAATCTGTCCCCCACCTTCACCAGATGAAATTAAACAACCCCACCTTTTGCTTTGAAATCAGTAAAAGCTGTGAGTCAACAAACACTTGTGCTATGACAGAGCCAAATAGATTTCAACCTTCACCAACCAGCATTACAATTGGTCTTTGCAGTTACTGAAGTACATATTAATTTTATCTTCACAGACTCTTTACATCAACACTGAATATCTTTTTTCTGTTGGCTTTTTTATCACAGGCTCCAGGGTTAATTGAACTTTAGGAGGAGTTTTGCAAATACTTAAACCTCAAGGGCCAATGAAAGGCTGAAACCCTCAGTTGATGTGGGAATTCATTTGATATTTCAGTGCAAAACTGAGGGCAGGAGCCCCAAAACCAAATACAAACCAAATAAAATTTTTAAACAACCCCACTATAGTATAGCATTTTACATACTGTAGTATAAACTATAGTATTTTACATTGCTTGGTTATATTTCTTCTCATCACATGTGTGTTAGAGGTCAACTCTCTCTGCAAAGTTCACAGCCAATTTAGACTAAGTACTGGGCCAAATGCTCAAGATACAATGGCTTATTCTGCATTAACTAGCTGCTGCCTTCCCCTTCTTAGAATGAAGTCTATGCTAGTAAAGGCACAAAGAGACCTCATGCAGCTGATGACCGCAGCCTACCCAAGGTGCATTCAGCCAGCTGTGGCAAACTATCTCTGGGGCCATCAGATCATTTAATTAACGATCTTTTTCTCTATTTTTTAATCTATTTCTCAAGCAGAGACTTTGCAGTGTTCCCTCAGCAGTATATAAATGAGGCGATGGGAAAAATATAAATGAAAATTTGAGGAGTGGTCAACCAAGGTTCTGTGTCAGTAGAACACAATTTAGGAGTAATATCATAACAATATTGCTCTCCATGAAGACTGAGTAACAATGTTTCCCCTTAGGAAGGGACTAAATGTCCCATATGAAAAAAAGTCTTTACTGTGGTAAGCCCAGGGCCCAGGCAATGGAATTGCTTGTGCCAGTACCCTTCTGGCACAGAGTTACTGTCTCCAGCACTTCAGTTCCCATATATATATTACAATTCAGGACTATGGCACAGAGCCTTATCTTTTCCACATTTTCAACACTTTTAACAATAACAATGAATGCATTTCAGTAGTAAACAAGGGGCAGGGGTTTTGGGGGGGATAGAGGTTGGGGGAAGACACATATGACACACCAGCCTTTGTTATGGTATAGAAACAACAATGATTTCTAGTTACAGCTAGTTACCTTATAGTCAAAGCTTCTCTGGAAATTGTCCTCTTTTCTCCAAATGTGGTTTCTTCACATAAATCCCCCTTAAATACACAACAGATACAACTCCCAGCCACCTGTATCTTCAAAGTTTTAAGTAAAAAGAACAGAAGAGGGCACAACATTTACATAAAAAATACCCTCATAATAACCCTACAGAAACCTGGTGCCTTTTATTATTATCAGTAATTTTAACTGCACTCAGATGTTCACAACTTTTTATAAACAGAACGGAAGAATCAATGGGGAAAAAGCTGTATCTGTTTTCACACAATGTTTACTCTAGGGAGCAGCTTTTGACTTGAATGGAGCTACTCTGGTTTATGAAACTGATACATGAAAGCAAGATGAGGTACAACATCTACAGAAGCTCTAATCTAATCTTTCACCCTTGCAGGCACATATAGAAACTAACATCTTTAATAACCACAAGCTATCCTTGGAATCAATGATACTGTCCCTCTGTGTGTGTGTAAGACAGCATCCTAGGGTTCGAATGCAAACAAAAACTAGTTACTAGTGTCAGAAAGAAATACAAAAGACAAATTGTAGATGAAAGATGAATTGTAAATGAAAGTTGCATATAACAGCCTGATGTGAAAGAAAAAAACCCTCCATACTTTCCCTGTTTGTTAAAATATTTGAAAAGCTCTGTTGAAACAGGTGATCGTTGATTATAGATCTGGCCCTGAAATTTGAAGCTGAATCAGTAGCACTTCATAGCACACTGTTTCTAGGAATAAGATAAATAATAGTCATCATGTAAACCCATGTATTTACCAAAGTAGAATATGCAATTTTAATTCCCTATCCAGGAATCACTTTCAGAGGTCAATGAAAAGCAGTTCAGCTGAGACGAAATGTTAGAAACAGTACAGGTTTGTTACTTTAAGGTAATTTGTTTTGCAGTAGCGGGTGTTAGTTACACACCAAGAGTAAGTAAGTTATGTCTAAATGTCAAACATGATAAGCAACATATACCCATATCAGCACATTTCCTCTACAGCTCAAACAAAACCAGCAAGGGGAATTACCTAGCAAACTGTGAAGAAACTCAAGGCTTACCAGATTTTACAATTTCAGGATGTAATATAGAAAAAGTTCACATAGCTGCATCACAAAAGAGGATGTGTACACGTATGTATATAAGCATACAAATATGCATCAGGCAAGGTTTATTCTGCAAATACAAAACAAAAGTGCATCTGCTTCTCATTGTGGTCTGTACATTATCAAGAACTTCCACCTCTGGAGGCAGCTGATATATGACAATGTTTCCTGAGGTTAAGCTTTTGTTTGGTTAGCTTTATACTTCAGTTGCTAGAGCAAGAAATCATATAGCGATTTCAACTATCTTAGGTCCATAAAATACTGATCTTGAGATGTTCACAAGAAGGCCCAGGTTTACACAGTAGCTCAGCAATGAATTCAATTTATATGAAAGAACATCTCTTTAGGAGTCTAGTTTAAAATAAACAATGCAATCCTACTCCAGTAGCCAAGTGATTCAAAAAACAGTATTTATGAAGGGATAAGACTGGCTTGTACAGTATCCCTGACTATAATCATCAGTGGCCTGTTTTCAGAAAATAGAGTGTGGGAATCTGTGTTCCTGTACGAGATGTGGACTACTCTGATTTGTTATCACACACCACTTGATGGTTCTATTACCATCCATATGAGTTCTATCACCATATGTTCAAAAGCAACATGACTGTCCACTGCTATCAAACTGGACTTATTTATTTATTTTATGACAGATTTACAAAGCTCTGAGCGCAACTAACCAAGAAACCAAGAAACTGTTTCTCTATCCCCATTTACCCTCAGCAATGGAAAATATTCACTCATTCCTTGAGATGATGCTCTCACTGCAACTTGTACTACATCTTGATTAGTTGTGGGCTCTGCTGAGCAGCCCTTTCAGGAAAATGCAAATCCAGTCCTGGATGAGCTACAACAGAGTTTTCCATGTACCTCACAAACTCAGCATTCAATACATTAACAACTATCTGTAAGTAAAAGATAAATAAAAGTAAATATAAATGAGAAATCAGAATTCTACTTCCTAGATTCGCCAAAAAGACGGAATTCCAAACAGAATTACAAATATCCTAATATACATGAAATGGTAATAAGCAGCTTTTCATTGTATCCTTTGCAGTGTATCAAATTACTTTTAAATAATATTAAACTATGCTATAATTTATTAAACCACTTAAATTACAGTGTGAAACCTGGTATGGCTTTTTGAGAAAAAAGTAAACAATCTTCTCATATCCATTTTCCCAGTGTTTCATCATTCTTCTCTCCCTGGAACGTTGGTAGTTTAAAAGATCACCAGCTAGGACAGCACTGGGGTATGACCAAGTAATCAGTGGCAGCACTTCAGTCATGGCTCTGTATGCAGAGCCCTAGGAGTTGGGAATATCAATGTTGGCACACACAGCTTTATACATACAGTGTTTTGACTGTCAAGGCCACTTCTCTAGGACTAGAAATGCTTAGCATTGGTTTAACCATAGCATTTGCTAATTTTTCTTTTATTATTTTTTATAAAGCAGACATAAGCTCCATTTGTGCAGCTCTGCTACTTAGGGTAAACAGAAGGTCAAAAACAGTGTTGAAAGAATTGTTTGTTCAATGAAAGATAAAATAAGTGAAAACAAGTTCTTCACCTACTATGAATGAAGAGGAAGGGAAAAACAGATAGTATCAGACCATGTAATTAAGCTTCACATGAAAGGATACTGTGTTTCATCGTCATGACTGTTTTGTTAAGACACATTTCAGGGGCATAAAACCTCAACGGGCATACTGTGAAACATGAGACCCCTCTGGAAACAAACCCTTGCTGCATGATCAAAGGAAGGTAAGTACTGAGGTATATGCATAGTTAAATTTATCAAACAGTTTTACTTCCCACTTAAACC